ATGTATATGTTTATGTTTATGTAAATGGATATGTAAAATACATACATACATATGTATATATATATATATATATATATAAACACACACGCACACACACACACACACATATATATATATATATATATATGTAAATTTATGTACATGTTTATGTATGCGTATATATACTCTTCGTATTTGATGTATTACTTGATTATTTACCTCGTGTTAAACTGAAGCACTGATAGTAGTATGGAATAAATTTGCGCCTCCCCTCATCCTGTGTAGGACCCCGACCCACTATGGCAGCGGGTGCGCGGCCACCGTATACGGCACCGTCACAGCAGGCTCCGTCCATTCAAGAGCCAGTGGGTGAAGAGAAACCGCGGCAAGACCTTCTGCAGCAGGTATGTGCATTTGTCATGAGGTTGTCTGTGTAGGTCCATGGGCGAGTGTGTATATGAGTGCTGTTGTATGTATTTCGGTTCTGATAGTATTTCTGTGAAAAAAAAAGATCTATATTTCTTCAGCAATATGTATGTCGTCTGCTAGGGCCAAGAATAGCTATATATTTCACCAGGGGGGCGTAATTGCGATTGGCCCGTGTATAACAATGCCGATATGTCTTGGTGTACACAGTTTTGTATCAGTCGATATCATTAGAGTAGGCACGTTCTAAATCTAGTCACATACCGAGCATTGCTACAGCTTTCTACTCTACTTTCGCCTCGAATGTGTGCTCACGTGGTATAAGCATGCTTGAGTAAAGCGTGCTTTGAATGGTCACGAGGAGATAAAACTCTTTTCAAACTACTACGGTCTTTTTCGTTTTAAAAAATTAAACAAATTCGAAGGCACGGAAACCTAAACACCTGTCAACTCACGAATGTGGCTGGATTGAGAGCTTCTCATTTAATCTGATCTGGATGAACACTGACCACTGAATTTGATTACGTTCTTTTGGGCTTCAGGATCAATTACAGCAACAACATCAGCAACAGCAACAGCAGCAGCAACAACAACAACAGCAACAGCAACAACAGCAGCAGCAGCAGCAACAAGCACAGCAACAACAACAACAACAACAACAACAACAGCAGCAGCAACAGCAACAGCAACAGCAACAGCAGCAGCAACAACAACAACAACAACAACAACAACAACAACAGCAACAGCAACAACAACAACAACAACACGCTATGCAGCAACAGCACGGTATTCAGCACACGTCACAGGCGCAACTACAACACCCACATCATCCACAAGAGGGACAGCAGCACCATCAAATACATCACCAAGCACAAGAGTTACAACCGGGTGAGCCGCAACAAGGCGAGCAGCCGCAACCCCACCACCAAATGGGCGAGGTGCAAGTCACAGTGCAGGACTCCGACGGCCAGCCCCAAATCACTACACCTGGGTTGGCGGATGGGGACCCGAATGCACCCAGACCTAAGAAGAAACCCCCGGGAATGACAGATCTTAATATTACTATACCCTCAGCAGAGGGAATAAGCATTGTGACGAGTGTGGTCTCACCCTCAGAAGATAACGGTAAATAGTGACGATGACACGTGTCCAGTTTGCGTTTCTTTGTTTGGTTGGCATATAACGTCTACAAGCTGGGTACAAAATGGGGACTGTCAGTTTGAATCCGGCTCACATTCTCGCTTACATATATTATGTACATGTCCGCACGCATTTGGGTTGTCTACAGTTTTCCGTATGTCATACACGCTTCTATTGTAGATATGATATATAGGTATCGTAAGGAACTATCAATATAATTTATACTGGTGAAGTTGTATGAATCAATTTTACAATACATATACATATTCATACACACACACTCTCTCTCACACAC